ACACTCCGAGCGGTCGAGCCAGCTGTATTTCGAGATCGTGTACGAGCAGAAATAATTCCGTGTCGTAACAAGCGATTTTCGAACTTGAAAATAAATTCAGTCGAGTGAAATATGTCTCGACTAGAGACTCTGTAACAGTCTGGTGAGCGATTTTGTTCTGCAAGAAAGGAAGATAAATCATTTTTCTCTGTTTATATATATATATAAACTCATTCTCTAACTTATACTGATCACTTTATAACTTTAATTAAGATTATAGAGGCAGTAAAAGTTAAAGTGGGAGAGTACCTTTCTCTCTCGTAGGATTTTGACAAAATCGCTCATGGCCAGACTCTGCAATCTCAGGGTTGCCACAGATCTGGAAAACCGGCGGGAAAACCGGGAAAAGTCGGGGGAAAATGTGAAAAAGTCTGGAATTTCAAAATTTGCTCACAATTTCCTTCAATTGCTCCTATTCCACACGATTGTTATAATTTTTTAAATATTATATCTGACATTTATAGTTCAAAACTTGCGCACTGTAAACGATTTTAACAAAATAATTAAAATTTACGAGTATATTTTATTCAGTATTTTCATTTGATCCCTCGTTTTCGTCGTAACTGCATTCTTTTCTTCAAAACTAATTTATTTCTTGCTGGCTTGAGTTCGCACCCAAAATTTTACTATGCTACTAAGCTTTTTTTTGCGTTTTTTTTTTTGTAATAATGTAGCTTTTCTACAATCCTTGAGTCTAAATGTTAAAATTTACATATTTTATATTAGTCATGGAAATTTTTCCATTTTCATCTGGAAAACCTGGAAAAGTCAGGAAATTTTAAAATTTATTTTCTGTGACAATCCTGACTCTAAAAAATGTCGATGTAGATTCAACACCTCTAACGTAGATTCAACATTCGTGCGATATATATAATAATTTTCATTCATACATAAAATTAACCAACATAGCGTGGATTTGAAACTCCTATTTATATCAACACCATCATGGATTTAAAATCCATGATGTTAATTTACCACAGTGAGGAATTATACATATATGTAGATACCGCGTGTTAAGTTCGCACCGCTATTTTTTTAGAGTCTCGACTGTTTAGAAAAATAAATTAAATATCGAAAATAATTTGTACTCTGAATAAATGCAATCTCTCGCTTTCGACGATTCCACTCGAGAGAAAGGGAGAGTTCATGAAAGCCGCGTCGTATCTCGCCTACGCCATGATACTCTTGTGTTCCGCCGTCGTCGAATTATTCTCCATTTGCTAATGATCCCCCTGAACAGTCGGAAGACCCGCTCGTCTGGAAACTCGTCCTGCGTTTCTCGTTTAATAACCATTAGCCGCGCGACGTGACGGCCGGTAGGTGTCGGTCGGCGATTTTCGGATTGTCCCAACTCCCCGCCCGAAGGGGGGCGAGGGTGTCAAAGATCTAGAGCAGATAGCGGCGCGGCTATATATTGATGAGGTGGCTCTCCGCGTATTGATTCCAGGGCGGAGGGCTTTCCCCGCAACGAGCGCACCCCCCGCTCCCCCCGCAGACCCCTTTTGCCTACGCGCAAGGGTTGATAAGATCCGCCAGATAAGGCATGATTACACACCGCACCGTACCTACCTTCTCCCTCGTCCCTCCCCCGGACCTCATTCCCGTGTGCCTTCCGATCCCCTTGCGCCCTCCATTCTCGAGGTAAACAAGGGTCCGTTCTCCGCGATGGACGCCGGGACAAAAATGGATCGAAGAACGATAGGGTTTTACTGAGGCGGCATAAATTCATCGCGCGTCAAAAATAGGTTAGCAATTTTAAGGGGTAAAAAAAAGTATCTATTAAACTTACATTAATTTCACGATCTCCCATGAATGGACCTCCTCTTTGCGACATAATTGCGCGCGGCAGTTGCCGCTTATCTCTCGATCTTTGACATTTTTTTTTTTTTTTTTACGACGTGGACTACAATAACCAGGCACGCATCGAAACTGCAAACTCTCGATCACGCACTGATCCGCGAATTTCTCCCTAAACATCGCGATAGAACGCCGGGACGGCGCTCGAAAGAAGAGGTACTCGAGAAACGTTGCGAGAAAAAAATTCGGAGACACTCCGATTGGTACTGTCTCAGAGTTCATTGTGACGCAATGTGCAGGGAAGGCGGGTCAATGGAGAGCAGTTTTATTTACTCGCATAGGGGACACGCGTGCTATCCCTCTCGCTCAAAGAAATTTCAATAAGCTCGCTATTATGCGAGTCGCCGGGCGGGAGGCTCCCCTGTATTTTGTGCTTTCGCCGACAATGACGCAGGTATAGTTTCGCTCGACAGTGCCCTGTGCCTTTCCGAGTGCCAGGGTGCAGTGTCATCTTGGGGGGGGGGAGGGGGGTTAAGTGGTTCGTGAGTAGGGGGTGAACAAGGGGCGAAAGTGGAGGGTCAAAGGTGGGCGCCTTTCGTAAAAGAAACATCTTATGCGCGCCGTCGCCGCCATTATCTTGGCGCAGTGATCGGTTTTAAGTATATTCATCTTATCAACTGTACGTGCTAAGTTTTTAAACATATGGTGTATATACGTACACAAATAAAATATCATTAAGTTTAATATTATTATTTTGTGTACGAGTATACGAAACTTTAGTGTTCCAGGATGGAAATTAAAACGCATACATTTAACACAATTTAAATAACAATAATTATTATTATTAATGTATCAATTAATATAAGTTTCGAGTAATCGAGATGCGAATCCTCGGACGGACGATTTATCATGTTGAATTTATCATGTTGAAACGCTTGCCAATAACGATTCGAAGCCCGTAATCTCGAAGGAGCTAAATAATATCGTTCATTAATTCGTTTCGGTCAACGTCCATCGCGCGACGCGCCGAAGTTTACCTGCAGCGCCGAGTTTTCGGTAACAGTATCATCCATTAACGGTTAAGTGGTTCAACAGGAAGAATCAGAGAAAGGGGGACGGGGGGGGGGGTATAGAAGAGTGAAAGGTAGAATACGTGCGTCGGGGAAGGATCGAAGAAGAAGGCATTTTATAATACGGTTCCGACGGCAGGATACCTGCTCCCGTTCTCTCTCTCTCTCTCTCTCTCTCTCTCTCTCTCGCGTTCGAGAGTGCATTCGCGCGCCGCGCCGGTTCGGGACGTGGGGAAATAAGCCGCGGTTAGTCCCCGAGGGATAAAACGGAGATCCCGCTCCTTTTCGTTAAGTGTTTGCCAGTCGCATGCCGTGGAACGACAGGGTATACAGGTGTCACGCGGGGATCGAGTTTTCGAGTTTTCCACTCCGTAAGAACGGGAGAACGCTTTCCGACGATAAGCTTCTTGCTCTCCTCGCTATCGGTTCTTCTCTTTCTTCCGAGACGCGTCGATTCGGCAGGGCAGGCAGCCGGGAGAGATTTTGAGGGGTTGATGTGTCACGCTAACCCGCGTCAAGCTTGTGGCTTTTTGATTCCACGCATAAGCCGACGGATCGAATGCGCTTCTGGCGTGGGAGTAGACGGACTCGAGCATGATTGAATAGAGTATTTCATCCCGTCGTGCGTTTTATAATCCTTTCTCGCATAGTGCGAGTCTAATCGCACGATTACCATGCGCCGCGTGTTTCTTGAAACAATTCGTTCGGAGAGCAATTTCAAAGAATGATACATGTGACGTAAGATAAGAATGTCTTTGGTTTTCAATGTATATTTATAAAAATTGATGTACGTATACATTTGACTTCTTAAGACGGAGTCGTTTATTTCATGCTAAATAGGTGACAAATGAATCAATTGATATAAGATACAAATATCCAGGGTAAAATTGGAAAAAAACGAAATTATGGAGGAGAGAGATATTTCGGTCAAAAATAGTTCAAGTTGGTGTCTATAGGTATTAAGTGTTTTGCCAAAATATTAGATTTGAGAAATCTCTCTGACACAATAATTCTCAAATCTTACAGATTCAAGTCTGCGACAAACTGGACTCTCGATTTCAACTTCTGAGAGGGATTTGGCAAAACACTTTATAACCATGGACATCAAGTTAAACTATTTTGACCGAGATATCTCTCTTCTCATAATTATTTTATTGGTTTCAATATGCTACATTACGCTCGTTTTTTTATGTAGACACATCGCTATAAGGTATATTATATAATTATTATGTTCTATCGTCTTGACATTGTATTCACTGAAGAAAGCTTTGTAAGTCGAAACGTTTATTTTATCGAATTATATATAAAATTTTTATTGTATCTTATATATGTTTATTTATTAATATCATTTTTTTTTTCAAATTTTATACTGGATTGTATCGTATCTTATGTGTAATTGATTAATTTAAGTCATCTATTTATTAGCTCGAAATAATTAATAAATCTGCTATTTTAAATATTTAATTTAAACGGTAATTCTTCCTCGCCATTTTTCTTATAATATTTTATCAATATTTGCATACGTTAAGATAAATCAATTAATTGAATTAGACCTTATCAATTGTCGATATACAAACAGATCTAACCCTGGCAAAAGAGATGAAAGAGCTCTATGCTCTACTAACATTTTATTGCTTAATATTTACATTGAATAAATATACTCGGAACTCACTTTGCCACGCTACAAAGTGGTCCGTATGCCCGCGCTTTAAATAATCACAACATTTATCTTGCAATTTATCTGCAGCTGAAGAAAAAAATTTCAAACGCAAACGCGCAAATTGTAGGTATACGATATTACAGATAGCGCGGCAAGTACGAAAAGTATCTCAATTGCTTGGGTTAAATCTAATAGGCTTCCTACAATAAGCGGTTACTTAAGCCTAAGTCTCAAGTCGATCGATCAACCGCAGTTATTATTATTATTCTTCTCACATTCGACCGCGATCGGTCGATTTCCTTCTGGCTTGAGACTGAAAGTTTAGATAATGGCTTATCGTGGAATAAGCCCATAACCGAGACGATCTAATTAACGATCGTCCGAAACGCCAACGTGACGGGTGTGATATCTGTGTCTTCTCTTTTCCAAAACTGTCGCTGCAGAGTGCGGCGAGACGGGCGGGCACCAGCTGCGCCAACTGCAAGACGGCGACCACGACTCTCTGGCGGAGGAATCAGGCCGGTGAGCCAGTCTGCAACGCTTGTGGGCTCTACTACAAGTTACACAACGTGAGTAACACTCATTACCTTATTACTCCCTAGCCGCGATATAGCCGGCGATGCGCTGCAAAATCGGGATACGACGGTAGTTCCCGATAATACAATTGCCTTTTTTTCAGACAGAAGCTTCCTCTCTCTCGATACGCGCTGTTCAATGAACAACTTATGGTCAGCGAGTTTCACGCCGACTTTATGACACGCTTCGCGTGTAATTAGTCGATTAATTGATCGACGGAGAAAGTTATTCTTCGGCGCACTACCGCTGGGTAGTGTTTCGAATTAATTCACAATACTTATCGCGGACATCGCGGACAATCGCTTGTTAAACGGTACTATTTTTATATCTTACGTAACACGATCGAACAGATAATTTCAAGTCGTTTTCCTTGTTATATCCGATCGATAAATCAAAGCGCAGTTTTATTCGCACACAGTGACCA